ATTTTCGTAAATTTAAGGTAACGAAGAACGCATTCGTATCTCGAGTATGATATGTAGTTACTGTACACACACACACACACACACACATTACACACGAACACAACTTCGATGACGAAGTCACGGATCAATGTTGCATTAGAGACGCACCAACGTAGCGTGTAGTGCCGAGTAATTGCTTGCGCACCTTGCACCATACTCCCAATAACTCGTTACCAAATACTTTTTTCCCCGCGCTCGATGCGCGCACTTCCTCCGCGCTTGCTGTAGAAAATTATTGGCGCGCCCGTTAGAATTTCCTTTGTATTATATTGTAAAGTATTCTGAGCATAATAAAAGTCTAAGATATAAATCTTATAAATCCTCTTCTTTCGTTTAACATTTTCATTCTTTCTTTCTGAATACTCGAATAAAATGGAAAAATTGTATTATAGTGGCTTCAAAAAGTATCGAACTTGCGAAGAGAACGTTCCTTTTCTTCAACGTGAATCGAAACCACTATATCGTTTGATCGATGATAAATTTTTGTAAAAATTTTGGATTGCACGTTATATAATCCACGTTCGTTTTAGCGCCAGCTCGATACAAACACGCGTGCAACACATTTCACGCACGATGATGAAAAATGGATGATCATCATCGAAGTGAAATCGCTTCCGGATCATTCTTCTCGAGGCGAACGTCCCCTCGAACAGATTCGTAGCCATCTTCCGTCTCCACTTTTCGTTTTCGATTGAAAACATCATGGCGATTCCCACATAAAACCCCTCGAAGAGTATTTAGCCATCATAGGGCGATCAGCACCCGCGTTCTCGTTCGAGATCATGAAACTTTTTGCGGTGCTATGCGCGCTGATGATACAATGCGCCGCGTCAAAATCATGGAACAACGATAGTAAGGTGAAAGCCCCGTATGCCTCGACACCCGATGTGACTTCCTTCTTTGCCCGTCAGGTTATTCGGAGGAGTTCTTCGTGTTTAACTGGTTCGGATATTTAAAACGTTTGTCTTTGATAATCCTGATGTTGTCCGGTATTATTCTCTACTATATTCCGGAATCACGTCCACGTGAGTAAAAAAAGAAAAAAAAAAGAAAAAGAATAGACGTAAATGCGGAGTGGAAGAGACGAGGGTTGTCTAATTCTATATATATTATAATAATTGTAAATTGAATTCTCGACTCGAGGCAAATATTTTATCTTACTTTTTTAACATCATCGTGTGGAAGGAACGTTGTGTTGTAACATGTAAATGTGATTGAGAAAAAAGGACGAAGACATTTGTTTTAAGCGATGCTTGAATTAGTAATTTCTAGTTTATTCTAATTTCTAGTTTATTAAAATTGCTCGATTTGATTGATCGAAGTTTGTAAAATTTAAAAGAGAAAAATATTAACTTTTTATATTAACGAATCAGATGTCTATATATCTATATATATCTTTATTCGATCTAAATAGCCACGAATGCTTCGATAGTTTAAATGCAAATTACAAATATTTATTTTCCACGAATTTCATCCAATTTTCGTCAAGTTTACAAGTTATCGTAATATTTGTTTTTCAGATGCTCGTCGAATATGTTATATGTTGATCGATTTTACGGCAAACGGTTTAAAATCTGCACTGAGTGCACGGGAGAGCGAATACCTGTACGAGAAGATTAAATCCAAGTACGATCGTATTCGATACGAGCATTCGCTCGCTTCGCAGAAATATATGTCGCCAGAGATTCAAGATGACAACGAACACATCCATCGACCCCACAAAAGTATTTCAAAAAAGTCGAAAGTGTATTTGGCCGATGATATGATGGGGTCAGTGAGGAAATTTATCGAATTTTATCGAACGATTGCCAATATTATTCTTTCCTTCTTTTTTTTTTTTTGTTTTAAAATGGCGTTAATTATATATTTAGAAATAAGGAGAGGATAAGGAAAAAACACAAAGATCGAATCACGTTGTCCAAGTCACGTCATCTTCGCAGCAGCATGAAAGATATCTCTATGGGTGATTGCGCGGAAATCTCCAAACCGATCTATTTTTATCCCGAAAAATTGGACGATTTTCAGAAATACGTGAAAACAAGTTTGTCCGGTTTGAAACGCGATAAGAATTTAGAGAATTACACGCTTTTGATCAGGTATATAATTACATTATCGAACTCTTACTCTTTGCTATTATTACTTTTTCCCCGTTTATTATTTATAAATGTAAAGCGAACAATTTTATCAACAGATTTCTATATCCAATAGACCGTAATGCAATGTAATTTTTTAATTTCCAGCAAGGTGCCTCTATCGGTAAGAATGGGTCGCTTCTCTTCCGGCATATTTTTCCGGCATCACAAGAATACGTGACATCACATTAGCATCCCACTTCCAGATTAAGCAGAGAAACTTGTTGGCAGAAACGTGGTGATTCGATAAAGTTAATATGACGTCACGTGTTCTCATCCTATCGAAATTCGCTACTTTCAGCGGCGGTAATTCCAATTTGTAGTAAAAGAAAGAAATAAACCATGCGTATACAGATGATTTTTATCGTCTTTGTTTCATTCGTTGCTTTGATTAAACTGTTAATCTTTTGCATATATTAAGAGATTATATATTCGCGAAAATCTATTTCGCTCTGAAACTCTCGAGAGGAGAAATTGTAGAGTGCAAGAGATTAACACGTAAGCAAATATATCAACGAACAACGATTAGCAATGGTATCGTGACATTTGGCATTGCAGTTCTTCAACTTTTCTGTGAAGAGAAAAATGAACGGACAAATTCGAATTCAGCTGAGAATTGATAATATAATTTCGTTTAAAATTTCGTTCTTTTACAGTGGCAGTCCACAACAAATGGCGATATTCGATCAAAAGTTCGATAAGGAAGACATGGTGATTGTTCAAGATCCGTACATGAAAGTGGAGTACAAGGAATGCGGCACTTCCACCGACAAACTGTCGGCGAAAGTGGAAGCCTCAAGCTCGGAACACGAGGGGCCAACTAGAGACCTTAACGAGAATGTAATGGACCCAATAAATCGAAGAATTTATAAGATTTCGTTCGAAAAACAATCTTTATTTAAAATACTCCCTAATAATTTAAAAAATTTTGCGTTTTCACAATTCTATTCTACTTTCTTTCTTTAACGCAGGACACGGAAACGTACATAAAGGAAATTGAATTCAGCTCGATCCCGGAACACACCGGGTCAGGATATTCTATGAACAAGTTGTTGTATCAAACAAGTCAATGCCAATGTGATCAAGATTGTTGTAAATCCAATGAATATTCTTTTGGATCTTTGAATCCAACTTTGAACAAGGCAGCTATGTCAACGCAGTATTTGCCCGAGGTAAAAAAAAGAAAAAAAAATAGCGTTAAAGTAAATGAAAGATTGTTATTAACAGGCAAAAATTACATAAGAATATCATAATTCCATAAAGCATCATTTAAGATTGTCTCGAAGCTCGAATCCAAAATTGCGTAAAGTGTTACAAGAGAACAACGAGAATCTGTATACATCTATCGATTGCAATAATCACATGGATACTTGTCCTATGAAGCACGTTAATTCGAACACTCGAAAGGTTGATTTTAGAGAGGAAAATATACACGGGCATAACGAAACATGCGCTGAACAGGTATTACGTTATTGGTTCGTGAGAGAATATTTGAATATGACTTTTTTTTCCTTTTTTGAACAGAAACAAATGGAGAATAAATATGCGTATGAAAATATGACCAAATTACGGAAAAAAAGGTCTAGGAACAACGAACCGTCGAGTGGTTACTATTGCAACGATTTTTCATACCTCACTGATCGAGGAGGAGAAGCTGACGACGAAAATTCTCAACAAGTGGAACGGCCGATTCGAAAGCACTATCTCGACGAGAAACCTCAAAAAGAGAATACTTTGTTGGAAAGTTCGGACGAGTCGATTTTGGATTATTACGAAGGACTTGATATGGAGCCTATCCTGAAAAGTAAGTAATTTAAACATTATAAATTGGAAATATTACTGCATATTTCGCAGAATCTTCAATTAAATTTTACTTTTCTCGCGTATATCTTTTCTTTTTAAATAAGTTTTCAAGAACACGATATTTGAACGATTCGTGGAATATCTTTGAAAGTTAAAATTGTAAAGATTATATTAGCCTTTTCAATATTTCATCGAAAGAAAATTTATCTATGCTCTATATATGCATAAAGCGTTCTTAAAAAGAGATTTCATTAAAGATAGAATGATTGAAACTTGAAAGTTTATTGGAAGAAAAAAAAAAAAAAAAAAGAAAAATCAAATAATCTTGAAAATCTTGCGAAATTATTAAAAAAAAAAGAAATCATATCAAAATAACAAATTCTAAATTTCACATTCCACGATGAAAATTCAACGAACAAAATTATCATCGAATTATGACTTTATTTTTAACGATCCAGATCGATTCAAACCGGCTCTGCTACGAGCGGTGAATTGGATCTTCGGTGGTTGCCCGGAAGCATCGAGAAAAGCGGCGTTGAAACGCAACAAGATCGAAAAGGAAGAGAGCCAAGAGACCGACGAATGGTGCCTGTAGTCAAGGGCTTTGAATACCTCGTTGCAAATCGTTTCACACCGTCGGCAAAATCGTAGTTCTGTCGCATCGAACATTTCACGTAATACATCTCATCGATCGTTAAATTTACGAAGTTTATCGATAAAATTTAAAAAAAAAAAAAAGAAAAAAAACAATTTTGTCCGTCTTTAATTTGAATAAATGTGGGTTTATCATTTTCTCCCTTCATATTGCTTATCTTAACTAGAAACAGGATACGAGCGCATCATTCAAAACTCGAAATAACGACGAAACGATCCGTGTTTCCGCGAATCCATTAATTCACAAACAGATTTTCTCTGGATTCCTACCGCGCATCCGGAAGTGGGCGAATCGAAGAAATCGTTCCACGAGGCATTGATTCACTTTACGAGGTTGGCCGTGGCACGTTCGCCAAGTTAATATTTACAATAGCATTTAAACTGTTTATATATCCGTGGAATACCTTTACAGGATCGATTCCAGAGATTTGAACAGAGTTGAGAAAACATAACAAAAAAAAAAAAAAAACGTTAAGAGCTTATTCATCAAGTTACAAACAATTGAATACGAAGCGAGATGCGAATAGAACGAGATATCTCTATCTCCGTTCCACCACCGTCTCGCTCCCATTCCTGTCTCACTTCACCCAACCGCGACTCGATAATTAAAGCCTCAGCCGACATTTTTCTCTACACCAACTTTCGCTCCTTTCTTTCGAAACTGTTCCACGAACGTATTAACACCCCATATACAACATTCTCTCTCTCTATATATATACATATATAATATTCGTGGAGACGAATCTTTGAACGCGGAGTATTTGGCCTAAGGAAAACGCGTGTTGCCGAGTTTTCGAAACGGGCGACCTTCTCCTCCTCCTCCACGTTGGTGCGCGCTCTGCCGCTGCCGGAAGTGGATATCGCGTGTATATACGTGGCTTAAGAGCAATAAAGGAGGGCCGGACTCGCCGAGCCGCCAAAAGAGAATGGGGAGAGACAGTCGTGCGGAGACCAAGAACCGCGTCGGATCACGCAACGGAACCGCGAAATTCTCAGGAACCACGTGACACTGAGAGTAGGAGGAGAAGGAGGAGGAGGACGATCGATCGTTTCCCTGTTTTTCTTTTTTTTCTTTTTTTTTCTTCTCTCTCTCTCTCCCTTCCCGTTTCGATAATAACTAAGCCGCTTGGATTTCTAATATCGATCCCTTCCGCCCTGTTTCGCGCGGTTAACCGCGTACCTCGCCTCCCTTCCGCGACACCGTAAAGGGAACTTCCAACCCTCCCGATAGTAGGAGCGAAAGTATCGTCGCGAGTTCACGTGTCACGCTCCGCTTCTTTTTTTTTTTTCCCTTTTTTCCCCCCTTTCTCCCGTTTGGAAAGAAGAGTTTAAAGAGAAGTCGTCCCCGCGATGCCCGACTGTTGTGCGAGCTGATAGAAAGTGTATAAGCGACGTGGAATGCTCGAGGAACGGTACATCGGTGTGTTCTAAACGATTGGTGAGTACGCAATGGAATAAAAATAACGTCGATATTTTTCTTTTTTTTTTTCGTTCGATATTCTCGCTCTTTTACCTGTGCACTCGATTCGTAAACAGAGGCCGACTTATTATATAGATAGTAGAAGAAAACATGCTCGAACTCTCGTTCGCCCGATTTTTCGACATTAACGAGGATGCATGAGATGTCACATACACGTATTTTTTTACTTTATTTGCAGCCTAGCAATTGTATATTACCTATACAATTTATCCATCGTGCATCCACTCGCGCGTATTGACATCGTAATTGCAATTCTGCTTACTTAAATTTAAGGGGAAATCCGGTGAGAATTAGGCGGAACACGTGAACGCGCAAGAACAACATACAAAGGAAATCGGGTTGAACCGCGAACCCCGATTTATCCGACTCGGTTTAGATTCGCGACCAAAACACGGTCAGTCGAGCCTATCGGCTCGGTTCATCCGTAACGCGGCTTACACGCCGGGATGGTACATTGTTAGACGCCGGAGTAAATTCTTTGAATTCCACGGGACATGTGCGAACTGTTCTATTAATGTACCCATCACGGGTTCCCTTCTCTTTCCTCGGACGACCGCGCGCGCGCGCGCGCACCTCGATTCCCGCTCTTTCTCCGCCGCTGTTTTCTCCACGCCCCTCCCCGCCCCTTTCACCCGGCGCCGCGCCGATGGAACAGGAGAGCCACGGTGTATTTAAACTTTCGTTCGAAGGGGAACACGAGGCGAATGCCTCGGCCCAGATGGACCCGTTCTTGTCTCGATGAAGAAGACACGGGACACCCGGTAAATGGAAACCCGCGTTTACGATATTCGTGAACGTCGAACGCAGTCTCGAGGATGGAGGAATGTAGAGATTGACGAGAGGGTTCGAAAACGCGCAATGCTTCTCTCTTTTTTTGATAAAATTTTAAGGATTTCTCGATTATTCGGTATACATCCAATATTTCAAGACAGTTCGTATATCGTTTTTTTAACGAAGTTAAAAATAAGTTAATCGGTAACTAGATCATAAATGATTTTAGCGTTTTATAATTTTCATAGTATCAAAATTATATAAAAATTCTACTAAACGATAATACGAAATACGACAATAGTGCATGCACCTAATTAATTTGTAAATATATTACTTATATCATTTACATAGTATTTTAAAAATTTAATAAAATCTTCAAAAACTTATTTAAAAATAATCAATATAAATTTCGATGTTTTTATTCGAAATTCCCTACGATTTTAAATTCTCAGTGTACAATGCAGATACATTTTCCAAACCTTTCTCGCTATTTTTTCTTCCATTTAGATTCTACGAAACCTGAAATAATATAGCAACTTTTTTGTCTAGCAGATTTCCAAATTACAAATATCATTTTACTTTTCCTATTTCGTCAAAAAGAACAGACACGTATAATAAGTTGTTTATAACTGTTTGATACCGATGCTGAATAATATTCAATCGTTAATATTCACAGATCTTTAAATGCGTTAAATTTGTTTGCTAGCCGATATCGAGCCGATATTATTAACTGGCCGCACTCGAGACCACAAATTTCGACAATGTTTTCCTTGGCAGACGCGATCGGTCTACCTGTGTCAGTGCTCGAATATTTTATATGAAATTCGGAAACGTTATCGGCGACCGTGGAAACCGGCCAAGGAAAGATGTAACCGTGACAAATTTTTCCTTGGTCCTCGGCCACGCGTGCGGAAACCGCATAAACACGCCCCTCGTTTCTTCTTCCTTCGTTCCTGCCGCTTCTTCTGCATTTCAATCTCGAGTTACACAAGTTATGTTACACTTTGTGCAGCGACAAATGCGCGGAGTATGACGTCAAATGCAATTAGAGGTATTCGGAGGAAGAAGAGTTCGTTATGCGAGGTGAAGGTGGCCGTGATTGGAGCGCCAGGTGTCGGCAAAAGCGGTGAGTATTACGTTTTATCACGAATCTTGCTCCATCTCTTTGCTGCATTGTCTTTTGCCTCGGATCGAAACGAGTGTTTACCTTTTTTTTTTTAATTAAAATTTAACGTATTCTCATCTTTCAAAACGTTTGAATTTTGTTAATATTTCTGAGATTCGAAAAGTACATTTTGTAATTACTTTGTACGGTCTATTAAAGATAGGATAAAAAAATTGATGAAAGCTTAGATTTTATTAACTGAAATTTTTCAACGTTCACTAATAAAATTAGTTATTTTTATTGATGTATTCATGCAAATTTCCATATACTTTTATATATTTCGATCGAAGCCACGTTTCGATGGAATTGTTGAAGAGTAAGAAGAAAATAGGGAATGTCTATTTTTGATTAGTGGCTGAAAGAGTGTGTATTTATATTTCAAAAATTGAAGAAAGAAAAAGCTATCAGATTCCAAGGCACACCATCGTTTTAACTTTAAAATTGAAAAAATTTCTTCTTTTCAAATTCGTTTTTTTTTTTTATCTTCAAAAAGATCGAGAAATCACAAGATTGAAATCGAAATCTGATTTTCTCAATAAATTTGCTCAAAATATTTCCCGCTCTTTCCTTTTATCCATAAGTTATGTAAAATCCGCTTTTACTTTCAGCGCTGTTATTTTGTTTTCATCGGTTGACGTGCTTACAACGCGAGTGTTTTCATCTGCATTTTCACTTGACTCGCTTTCGTGAGCAAGCTAATGCACGTGGTAACACTTAATTTTGTTTTTAACCAGGACGATAACGAGCGTGACATTAACCATAATCCTTTGGATACAATATCTTGCAAACTCGCGGTCAGAAGATTGATACGACTGAAGAAACGTTCTAAATAGCAAATGATCGTCCTTCGTCAACGTCGTTTCTTGCGATGCATATGTATTATCATTATATTCGTATCTTTGCTCTTTGTAACATGGAAACATATTCGATATTATGATTAAAATTTAATTTTAACTTTGATTTTCCTCTCAAAAGAAAAACTTTCGTTTTTAATATTCAAATAACAAATTGTTGACGTATGTCATTCATGAAAATCTTCATTCACCCGACAAAGAGACATATTTTACATCACATTTATATAAAAAATTTTAAGAAAGATGCACAGAATGCACAAAATATATCAAATACTGGTTGAAACAATTGATAATGAAACAGTTCTTATATCATACATAACACATGTATGTGTTAACAAGAAAAATCATAAAGTAAGAAATGAAGTGATCAGAAATAAAGTAATCACACGTTTTAAGTTTTCGCTTATTAATAAAAATATTATTAGCGATAAAACATTCGATTGTTAAATTATTTCGAGCTCGCGCAAGAACGATTGAAGAAAAAAGAATCTCGAGCCCAATTAATTCAAGTACACATGTCCACGCGACAGATGTGTGTACGATAAACGTGGTTAAGACCCTGAGAGAAGGCAACCGAGCGTATTTTTGGTAATGGCACGTGTGAGGCATAGGTGAGTGCATAATCGGTCAAGTCTCGGCAACGTTTCACACTGACCGCAAAATATTCGATATAATTTAACAAATTTTATCATCGAAATTCCTTTGGATCCTCGTTTTAATCGAGCTATTAGATCTTCGTGTCAATTTAAAAATCTTTAAATAAAATAGACGAAAAGAGACAAAAAAGAAACGATTTTATATATGTATAATTTATACGGTTTCC